TTGTGATACAATTTACCTGTGACTGTGAATACGTTTTTGTTTTTTTTTTTGTTCTGTTTTTCTGTAAGTATTTATCAAAATGTGTGATTTTGGTTTGGTATTTTTTGTTTTTTTTCCCAGCACAAATGTTGATTAAAAATGGACAGTGTGAAACATGTGAACGCTGTATGTGCAATACTGTTTATTTTTGTACGTTTTTGCATTGCTAATATGCACTAAATGACACAAGTATCAACATTTAGACTTGGATATAAAATGGTGAGATTACTGTTGGCAGTTATATAAGCGTCAAACTGTTCAGCAGCTTTTACAAAGTATTAAAAAGGGATGCAACAGATGTGGCCTTCTTTTACAATTTAAGGGAAACTACAGTGCCAAAAAAACAAAGTTGTGATGCAGAAGGGATTAAAAACCTCTTCTGTCACTAACCGGATTCCAGTGCTAATGTCCCTCAGCGCTGGCTCAGGCTCTGCCTCTGCTGATGTCGATGGGGGAGACCTAATGTGTATGTGTGGCAATGGCTGTGCTCACATTAATACTTCTCCCATAGGAATAGAGTTCAACCCAAGCAGAGGAATGAAAGGCAGGTCAGATCTTCTGCTCCAAGGAAGAAAATGGCATTGAATGTCCTGTGTCTGAAAGTGGAAGAGTAGCAGCAGTTTTGTTCTTATTTGATTTAGAGAACCCCAAGTAAATAAATAGATCCATGTGTAAGATCTTGAGGTGGGAGACAATATGCCCTTACAATGGCATTGGCAATGCTCACCTGCCAATGTCATGGCAAACCTCTTAGATGAGTCCTGCACAGGTCTTTACTGCCTTCAGCTACAAGGCAAAGTCTCTAATGAGACCAATGTGTGCATTCTTATGAATCTCCTGCAAACATGCAGTGGGCAACAGCACTGTAACAAACTGCTGGGTAATCCAAATAACACAAATATTAGCCCTGTGCTCAAGGTCGCATTTATCTCTGGCGACCGCAATATCTGCAGTATTTATGAGCCCAAATACAAAACACTAGTCCCCTGTAAACTATCCCAAATCCCTAAGTCTGATGTGACTTGCTTTCTCTCCATCGGATGTTTTACATGTGCAGACAGGAGGTTATTGACGCCTGTCTGTAGTGTTCGGGATCTGTCTCACCATCCCTCTTGGTCCTTATAAAGGGCTGCCAAACTGGTTTGAAAATGGGTTGTGGGGGTCCCTGATCCGGCTCCTGGGGGAATTACTAACTTTGATGGTCAGAGACTTGAGTTGAATGATATTCTATTTGCTATGTAATGTGGGATTTTTATTTCCCATTTTGTTACTTATTCATCTTCTCCTTATTGCCATTCTAACAGTCTCTCTTACTCCTCATATATGTTTGGTTTCCCACAGCTAATACTGTAGTTGAGCATTATGGGGAACTTTATAGCGTTATATAGGGGTAGTGTTTAATGCTGGCTTGTTGCATTTAGTGGAGCTAATTGCCGGAACTCCCTATCAAGCCCTCCTCCCCCCCAACCTTCTCTAATCCTCTGTTACATTATTTGTTCTGGTCAATTCTACCATGTTCATTTCTTTACTTTCCTCTTTTTTGCCCACATCCCCCTTGATTTTGCTTTATCTCTGTTGCCCTGTCTTGTCTGGTTGTTCTCTCATACACACAGCCTCAGCTGACACAATATTGCTGGAGCTCTGGCAAGCTATATATGCTTCTTTAAGTACTGGTGTATCGTCGTACTCTTTCATGTTCGTATTGGCTTTGTTCATTTCATGTCTTTGCATTTTACACTATTGTTTGCACTGTGTTACTGCTTCATGGCTCCAGTGCACTTGATGTATTCCATATCTAATGTTACAGCCATCTGTTTGATATATGCATTGCTTTACCTATTGTAGCTGACGAATTGCTATAGTGTATTCTCTGTTTCCATAATGTGCTCCTGTGTATCCGGCCTCTCTTCAAATAATTTTTATTGAACACATTTATAACTATGATAAACCATGTAAACATAGGTAAAAAGAAAGGGGAGAGGGAAAGAAAAATAATGAAAGGGTAGGGGTTTCCGTCCATAAATATTTTTTTCTATATACATTTGATAATTTAATTTCATATAAAGTACGGTGTATAATAGAACCAAAACTCTCTTCATATACTGCAAGACAACCCCCATTAAAAATAAATGGTTGACAGAAAATGTAAGGTTATCTCCCATAGACCTAGAGCATAAAAATCTCTAAAATGAGCACCAGACCCCTTCTGCCTATTGGAGTGGTCTGGGTGCCAACTCCCATCACCCTTAACCCTGCAAGTGTAATTATTGCAGTTTTTATAAAACTTACCTTAAAAATTACCTTGCAAGGTTAAGTCCTCTTCTATCAGACAGCCACTAGAGGTACTTCCGTTTTCTTAAAACACAAAAGTGTTTTAAACGACGCGTCCTCACGCTATGCATTGGGAGGTCTAATGCGCATTAGGTCTCCCCCGCTGACATCAGCCTGACCTAGCGCCGAGGGACATTGGCGCTGGATTCAGGTAAGTCACTGAAGGGGGGTTAACCCCTTCAGCAACATGGGATCCCCGGGGGGTGGGAGGGAGAGGGAACCTGCAGTGCCAGGAAAACAGATGTTTGCAGTAAAGCTTTATTGATGATAATTTGGGCTGAGATCCTGTTTTATCAGAGCCAAAAAGGCTCTGACGATATAAATATGTACTCTAGATGGCACCATTTCATCTCTAATTGTTGTTTGTTTAATATATGGTAATAAAGTACTTATAAAGAAGTGATTTTTACAAAGCTCCTTTACAGACAGTACTTTAATATATACTAGGATTGTCTGCTTCATAAGTGCTTCTACATAATGGATTCACACTTCCCATCATGCTGTCTATTGCAACTTATAAGTATAATAGTTGGCAGAGCCACATTACTTTTAAACAAAGCTATATAAATGTGCTTCTTTCCAATTACGTATGACGTTTCTAGCAAGAGAAAAATATTAACTTAGCAGATTCTTATCAGATTCAAGCCTAATAAATGATTAATTGTAAAATGATGCATATGTGGCTTATTCAGTGTTTAATCTATAGATCATTGGAAAAAATCATTACACACCATTTTTAGAATTAAAGTTTTCTGTCCATTAAACTCCCTAGAACAGAATTTTAAGTGTATTCCAGCTTAAATGGAGTTCAGTGGAGGGAGTTTTGACAAATACCTACAATCAGAGGTGGCTCTAGAATTTGAGGCCTTAGGCAAAGCTTTATTGAGCGGCTCTATGATGTGAGTGGTGGCTGTGTGTGATGTGTGATGTGCATGAGGTCTGTGTCTTAGCTGCACATAGTGTGGATGATGTGTGTGTGATAGCCCCGTAACCACTTCCTGCACATCATTTCCTTGTTGCCCTTTAATTTGCTTATTATCTCTGGCCCCAACCACATTACCCCTTTAATTCCATCAACCCTAATCCACAACAATCACATGCACAAGCCCCTCAGTACTCCTAAACGCAGAACCAGTGCTGCCATTAGAATTCTTCAGACCTCTTTAAAATTCACAGGTTAGACCACATTCTACACTCCCCGATAGATATAGACATCCTGGCACACATTTTGAGAGAAAAACAGATACACACATATATGCATGTTAGACACACAAATACACCTAACTGCACACTGTCAGGCTGACACACACACAGTAAACCCACCTTCTAACAATGTAGCATTGCGTGTGCTTAGTAAACACCCCCTCGCCCCCCCCCCACTAATATACGCCATATAGACACACTCTACAGATGTGTTTGGAGGATACCTGTGGTTGTGTGTTTAGCTACATGTGGTTTTATGTATGTAGGGGGCTCTGTGTTAAAAATAATTGTGGTATTGCATGTGTGTCGTTATGCTGCTTGTGGTTTTGCATGTCACTGGGGATGCTGAGTAGTGGGAGACTTCTTGTAGTATTACATTTATTTGGGGATGCAGTTGTGTTGCATGTTTTGTAGGGATGTTGTTTCTGGGTTTGTGAGAGTTTTTATGTGAGACTGCTTGGGGACTGTGGATGGATGCGGCTTTTTGGCGTGTGGTGGGTGGAGCGCTGTGGGTAAATGGGGGGCAAAATTGTGAGTGGATAGGACTTTAATTTCTTTCCTTTTATAATGCCTAACCTAAACACAAAACCTAACTTTTATTCTGCGTCTGCCGGAGTTGGGGACAGCTACTCACAGACACCCCTACCCCCTCGGCATTAGAACCATCAGGTTCAAAGACTGTCTGCTCACTGCAAAGTGTGAGGACCCGACATGCGCAATGCCTTAGGTTGTCACACCGCAGTCAGAACATGATGCCATTATATCCTGACCACAATCAAACTTATTAAACTTGGAGTGATCGGGAGAAAGGTTAGCAAATGTGAAGAAGTGTCAGGAGTAGTAATATTTTGGCACCTCGAGCAGAACATTTCCTACACTGGTAAAATATAAAGCTTTGAATGTGTGTATCGGTGATTGGGAATTTTGTGTGTGCGTGTGGTTGTGAGTATATTAGTGTACTATGTTGTGTGTATCTGACGATGTATGCCTCTGTGTATATGAGTGTACGCTCTTATCGTTGAGTGTTTTGTGTGTAATTGGTATCACCACCCAGTGGAGCAAAGGTTCAGCTGCTGAGAATAGCCAGCTAAATTGGGACAGCTGACAAATATTGTTTATTTTACATCTTCACCTCATACTTCACCCTTACACTCCAATGTAGACTACACAGACATATCAAACATGATGTTTCTGTCATCCCCATGATAACGTAGGATGCAATTGCTATATTGTTCTTCTAGAGCAGGGGTTCTCAACCCAGTCCTCAGGACCCCCTACCAGTCCAGGATTTGGGGATTACCTGGGTGTGTCTCAGGTGTTTAGAAAAAGGGGAAAAAACACCTTAGACTCTAAGGTGTTTTTTTTTCTTTTTCTAAACACCTTAGACACACCCAGGTAATCCCTAAACCCTGGACTGGTAGGGGGTCCTGAGGACTAACGTTGAGAACCCCTGTTCTAGAGCTAAACAGATCCATACAGTGACAGCGATTTCCCTAAAAGTGCTTTCTTTTTCACCGTCACACCAGCCTGTACAGAGAGGACTAGGTAATGGGTAGATGGGCAGCTGTCTAATGGCTGATTTGATTTAAAGAATATTTATCTTGCAACTCTGTCTGGAAACAGATGGCAGCTGCTGCACCTGAATCGAAGTAGTTGATTTTTTTTCCTCTTCTGCTTTTCAGCGTATGAACATGTTTTGGGGGGAACAATTGTTACTGCGGAATATCTGTTATGTGGTACATGTGTAGTGAGATTATGAATAAAGACATTTATAAACCTAAGGTGTACTAAATCAGATCCTAAACTTAAAGGGATACTGCAGTGAACGGAACACAAAATTATATTGTTAGCACTATAGTTTCCTCTGCACCCCTTCCCACCCACACTGATAGGATTAAATAAACCCTCTCTCTGCTCCGCCTCCTCTGACATCACCCAACTGCGAGGGTTAATGCACACGTATGGCAAGTGCATTAGGGCCTCCTCTTAGGAAAACATTGCTGCAATGCTTTCCTAGGGTATTTGACTGACGCTGGATGTCCTCATGTAGAGTATGCGGACGTAAAGCTCCAGACGACCTAGCAAGCAGGAAGTGCCTCAGATGGCTTTCTGATTGACAATCACTACAGGCAGTCATAATTGCAATAATTAACTTTGCAGGATTAATGGGACAGGGACATTGAACCCAAGCCACTTAAATGAGATTGAGTGGTCTGGGTGCCTGTAGTGTCCCTTTAAATGAATTCAAAGCTATGTCTGCGCATTATATCTACTTACATCAGTGAAGTTTCAGTGATTAGCTTTGGGGTGGGCAGAAAAGAAGCTATAGTCAACCAAAAATAAGGAAGTAAATTGATAAAGGAGGCAGGAATAACGTAGAATTATGCATAACATTAATTTAGTTATTTATCACAAACCTATGCAAAAATAGTTAATCACCTTCATTTAAAAACTATAAAATGTTTAAAAGTGGTGGTAAAAACATGAATATCTGTTTAGAGCAATCCGTGTGTAAGCAACAGTGGGTATTCATATGACGTGAAAAATAACGCTAATTCCACGAATGAGAATTCTTTCAATATGGCTCTTTAAGGGCCAAGTTGTAAACAAGTTAACTCCAAATTGGGACAGATCCCTAGTGTTTTCAATAATTCTCTTCATTCTCACACTTCCATAGAATAGGATGCATTGGCCGTATTAGGACAGTACATCTGTGAAGGCTGGTTTATAACCAAATACAGTAGTTAGTGTTTGAATTTCTGCACATTTGTGTGATCTGACCAAGGAATAACCAAGAAGAATCTATAAAATGTGCTGAAGGATGTATTCCAAGAACTCTGTGGGAATTCCAGGAAAAAAACAAGAAAATCTAAACGCTCTGACGGACGCAGACAAGAAAGAAAACAAGAAAGGAGAAAGATTTGAACCATGTGTCTGCCTGATATATAGATCATGAAGAAAGACTCAGAAATTACAGAAACTACCATACTTGGCTCACAGAGGGGATCCCGCTTATAGGCTTGAGAATGTAGCACTACTAAAGACATTTTTTTTTTTTAAGTGCTACTGATAGGACGTGACAGTTGGCTTCTTGCATTCGCCAGATGGTTAAAAGAATCTTGGAGAACTTGTGGGTCAGTCTTGCTCTTTGATGCCAACAATATATTCTTATAATTTTATTTTTTTACCTGATTGCAAATGGATTATTTATTGTATGGAAAGTTGCACTTAAATGGGGTGGGTTTAAATTTAAAGGTATACTGTCATATCCTTGGACTTTTTTAATCTGTTTAACAAATATTTGTTTGTGAGGTGTAAAAAATAAAATTAAATGAAGAAATTCACATCTCTTTTCCTGCAAATGGGCGCCTCCATGTTAGCTCCCCATCAATCATTGTTCTAAGCTCTGTGCTTTGCACCTGACAGTCCGCGTAAAGAAAGCAAACAATGTTTCTAGTTTTCCTCTTCATTTGCAATGTTTGCCTTGGCCTTGCCTGGATTTAACTGGATTATCAAGTCGTTTGTCAAATATTTAATCTAAATTTTAAAGAAAATGGCATCTCATGTAAAAAAAAGTTTAGAAAAGTTCTAAATTTTCAATGTTTTTTTTTCTTTTTCTAATGTAAATAATGTATTAAGTGTAAATTCAAGAGAATTGACCGTTCCTCTTTAAAAGATGTCTAGTATCTGCTCTAGAGTTCACTAGCTGTCTATTGTAGCCCTGTCACCAAACTGTGCTGCATTGGCTTGTTCACCTTTGTACAGTCTTTGATCCTTCGTGCTCACATTCAGTTATTCGCAATGACTGTGGTTTTCACATCAAAATAAAAAAACAGACTTAAACTTTCCTATGTGAATGCAGCCTTGGAGTGAACCAGGTACAGATTGAACGAGAGACAAATGATATTACAGATCGGCTTTGAACAGAAATTCTCTCCTCTTATTCAGGTTGCTGCAGGCCTTTCTGCACAGGAAGGGTTAGCCGATGGCAGAATTCCAATGTGACCAATCTTATTTACATTTAGCAAGTCGGTAGGCAGTAGAATGGGAGAAATACATGGCTTGACAGATTTAGCGGTTGAGTGTGTCAGAGATTTATGACTGTTTGCTGAGAATGAAAGAGCTGTCAGTCTGACTGTACATATAAACGTGGGGCTGGACCCCCTCCCTCTGCAGCAACTGTAATAATCCTTGTAAAGTGATGGACTTCTCATTTTAACCTTTTCCTTTCCGATTAAGTGGCAGATGTTTCTCCGTACAATATATTTTTCCAAACCACATGATCTCATTAAAAGATTGACTATGACTTTAAATAAACCTTTGTGTATATATAAAATAGCAACTGAAGATGGCATTCCAGGACAAACCATTTGTCCTGATGAAGGTTTTGCTCTGAAACAGAATTTTCGACTTCTTTTATGGATACTTTTTGAATAAAAGCTAAGTTTTAACTTTGGATACAAAGGTCCTGGAGTGCTATCTTCAATTGCTTTTTTGTATACTCTCATGACCAGCACTGGGGCCAGTGACTCTATATCCTGGAGTGTCAAAATATTATTGTGTTTTTTTTATTATATATATATATATATATATATATATATTTCCTGAAATCGCTTGTGCCTATACAGGACTAATGTGAATTGTAGTCACATTATATTTGTATTTGTTTATACTCTCAGAAAATCATGATCTACGTTCATTAATTTCTCTATGATGAAAATGAGATGTTTTTATTTATTTTATTTTACAAAATATAATACCTATATATATCTCTACTGTCCTGCTCCATATAGTATAAAAATGGGTTCTCTGACACTATATGTAAGGTTCACTGAGCTGGATGAAATAGATGATGATAATTCTAATGTGATGTACAGTAACCCGGCAGTGGCGGATGTATGCTACACACCTCAATCTAATACTCGGCACCGCATTTCTTTTAGTCTGCAGACCCCAAATGCCATGCAGTAGTTACCAACCTCTAGATCTAATAGGTACGGGCAGGTCCAGATTAATATAGGGGCGATTTGAACTGCAGCTCCAGGTCCACACCCTTAAAATAGGCCCATTCATATATGTCTTATTATGAGGATGTAGTGTATGCACCCACACCGCAAACCCATCTTAATAAACTTAATGTTATATAATTCATTCTGCTGTTTTGTACTAGAATGTAATTGCTTTACCCACCACTGTGACATATTAAAAGAGCTAAACAGGCTGTCGCTGGAATCCTGACACACTCTTCATCTTTCCAGCCTTGTGCATAAGAGCATTATTGGGAAGCCCCTACCCTACCCGAATAGAATGCTCTCCCCAGCTGTTCCCACCTCCTATAACCGCTGATCCAGTACTAGCACGATATTTAGCATACCACAATACAAAAATAAAGTGGCTCGATCCTCATTTTCCTACAGAGCACCGTCATTATGGAATAACCTCAGGGACACCGTCAAATCTTCATTCAATGTAAAATCTTTTAAGAGATCTATGGCAATATAACTCGGCACAGAATGCACCTGTCATGGTTAAATATATTTATTACCTGTTATGTATTAAATGTATATGTATATATACATATTGTAGCGGATGGCCCTGGGCTGTCCTGAGAATTTCATGTATTTTAATGTGTTCGCGTAAAAACAGCAAGTTCTATGTATGTAATGTATTGTATTCGTCTGAATGTTAGGTAGTTTCATTCCCTTAGTTTGTTCGAATGAAACAACCGAACAGTCAGACCTCCCCTGTGTGAAGTGTGTTCTCAATTACCCATTGCAACATTGTTGCGAACGGGTAATTGACAAGTTAAGTAGCCGTCCTTTGTTCTCGGGGGTGGCCGCCATTCGAAAAACGAACACGTGGCGGCGGCCATTTTAAAACTCCCGAACAGTGGTGTTTTGCCGTCGAGTGTCTGGAACTCAAATCGGACACTCGACTAGGCGAACACCGCTGAAACCTCCACAAGCCCGGTCTGTTCGGTTCCTAACTACCGAACGGCCCCTAAGAACCGAACGAGGGGATTCAGACGAACCCTCCCTAGCCGCTGTAGCTAGAGGTTTTCATGCCATTTATTCCCTGACTCCAGGACCGACCGCAGGATAAGGGGATTATGATGCAGGCTGAGGGGAGGAGAGGTGTGGGAGGTTACCAGAGCAGGATTGGCTACTGTACTAATGAATGAAAATCCCTCCCTTGCATGGGAGCAGGCTTTAAAAGGCCACTGTCTGAATAAAGGGTTAGTTATGCTCCTGAAACTGTGTGTCGTCCAGTTATTGGGAATTGCTGTTGGGATATCGCTGTTATTTTGCCTGCTGGATACTTTACACTATGGATTTATAATTGCTTGTTCCTGAGTCTCCCTGGGATCTAAAGTGGAGATAGGCTGTGGAATACCAGCTCTCCGCTACACATATATAGTTTGTATATTGAATTTTTGTAATATTGTATTCTATTGTAACAATGTAGAATTTGAAATATGACGTCATGAGATCCGGAAACCGCATAGTATTTCAGTGTGAAATGCACACGGCATCCGATCCTCAGCTCTCTTATTTGAAACGAAGGAGAAGAAAGAGGGGATAGATATCAGCAACTCATACAGCAGGAAACAATCTTGACCTCATCTTCACCAATCTTTGTACTACCTCTAGTCTCTCCAATGTTCCATTTTCTCTATCTGACCACCATCTGCTGTCCTTTTACATCGGCATAACCCCCCCCCAAATTGCACCACCTTCAACTCAACTCTCCAATCTTGCAGAAACCTCCACTGCCTTGATCTCCAGCTTTTCTCCACCAAACTCCAAACTCTCCTTTTACCCATCTCAAATCTCACCTGCCCTAACTCTGTAACCTCACTCTACAACTCCACTGTCTCCTGTCAACTAGACATCATGGCACCTCCTATATTTAAACGCAAGCGCTCCCAATTACAACCCTGGCACACCAAGCTGACCCGATATCTCAAAAAATGTTCCAGAACTGCTGAACGCTGTTGGAGAAAAATTACTAAGTATTAGTAAATTCTGCCCCTACTCGCTATACCATGAGTAGGGGCATGTCTAGTAAACAGTGAGCAGCCTATGACTGACAAAAAAAAAACACCCCAAGTTCCCCCATCCCGAGCACCCATGAGGGGGGGGGGTCACCTATTGTCTTCCTCCTTGGCCCCCAACCCTGAGCAGCGGTTGGGGACCCTAAATACCAATATGGGGGGGCCTATTGTCCTCCCCGGCCCCCACCCCTGAGCAGCGGCGGGTGGGGTCCTTAAATACCAATATGGAGGGGGACCTATTGTCCTCCCCGCCGGCCCCCAAAAAGTACGCTGAAAAAGTAATCCAACTTCACCGATGGAGAGCACCCACCCACCACTCAGGGGTGGGGGCCGGGGAGGACACTAAGACAACCCCCCCTTATTCTACTTTAGGGCCCCCACCCTCAGGGGTGGGGCCCAGGGGGAGGACAACAGGTCCCCCACTTTGAAGTAATTTAGGGCCCCCACCCGCCGCTCAGGGGTGGAGGCCACGGGGGAGGACAATAGGTCCCCCACCCCTTATTCTGATTTAGGGCCCCCACCTGCCACCCAGGGGAAGGGCCGGGGGGGCAATAGGTCACCCCTTCAGTTTAAAAGCCCCCACTCGCACGGCTCGGGAGGGGGGACACTTGGGGGGTTTTTTTTAGGGTTTTTTTTTTTTAACAGTAAGCAGCCTGTGGACAGGCTGCTCACTGTTTACTAGACATGCCCCTACTCGCGGTATAGAAAGTAGGGGCAGAATTTACTAATACTAAGTAATTTTTACTTAGTATTAGTACATTTGGCTGAAAGACCAATTTAGGTCTTTCAGCCTTTTGGTAGATAGCTCCCTAATACTGTGGGAATTAGGGAGTTATCTACTTACTCATTCCCTTATTGACTGGCTAAGTAACTTACATATTATATGAATGTGTTACTTGATTGTTGTAAGTATTGCAAATGCTTACAGCTGAATCCTGGCTATGTTTGTATACTTTTTATTCAAACTGGTATATTCTTCATTCTTCCACTGGGTATATTAGTACTTCGGCAATTCTGTGCTTTGGCAATTCGACTATTCAGCAAACCCGAAATTCGGCGCTTCGGGACTTCGGTTCGGCATTCCAAAATTTGCCACTTCGGCTATTCGGACACTCGGCGCTTTGAGACTTCGGCAGTTCGGTTCAGCATTTCCGAAATTCGGCACTTCCGAAATTCAGCTATTCGGACATTCGGAAGTATCCGAATGTCCGAACTGCCCG